CAACATTCCTGTAAAGTTTCATGACCCTATGTCGAATAATATTTGAGCTACATGTGACACGAGTTGAAAATTGCAAATGTTTACTAAATCAAGGACAATTACTCTATAAATACTAGATAAATCTAAACGAAAATACCCAGGTGCACAACTACACATGCTGATCAACATTCCTGTAAAGCTTTTGAGCTACGTGTGACATAAGTTGAAAATTGCAAGTTTTCATTAAGTCAAGGGCAATAACTCTGACAAAACACAAGCGAAACCCCAGGTGCACAACTTCATATACTCTATAAATACTGTATGTGTATTTAAATTCGCGGAAGCAAATTTTCGCGGAAAGGTCCATTTTGGGGGTGTATACAAATATTCGCGCTATTTTAAATTCGCGGAGGTGACTGCCGAAAATCATAAATTCGCGTACACCCATCAGGTTAAAAATAAAGAATATTACTCTTACACGATTATGCAATGTTTTTCGCAAGCAGCCTTCTTTCATTTTACATACTTTTTACTATAATCACCGATTTTGTTAAAATATTGACTGTGAGTAAGTAATTCTGTTTTGTTTTCCATGTTTTCATCAGTTAAAATCGTTAATGTTTGTGTTGTTAGTATTGTTTGTTTAGAAAATCAAAATATAATCTGATCAGATGTCAAGACGTTTATGACTCGGACTATGAAATAAATAGCATGACGCAATGGTATTGTTTAAACATGTATTTACTTATACAAGTATCCGCTAATCATATCAGTCAACCAATAATACACTAGCAAACTGATTTATATAACGAGCTGAATGTAACATGTACAGTTTATACAACAGTAAAATCACTCTTTGAAAGCGCCATGGATACCAGACTTATGGCAGCCGTGAACATACTGATATACATTGTTCTATAGATGCGCAAAAATATGACTATTATGAAATTATTGATGTAGAAATATTCGCGCTGAACATGAATTTGCGGATCGAATGTCAACGCGAAGATCGCGAAAATTTGAAGCCCGCGAATATTTCTACACATACAGTACTAGATAAATCTAAACGAAAATACCCAGGTGCACAACTACACATGTATGCTCCCTTTGCAGCTTACTGAATACACTCCCGTTACTTAAGAAAGTGAGCAATAGTGGAACATTTGACCGATGCGCAGGAGAGTACTACACATGCTGATCAACATTCCTGTAAAGTTTCATGACTCTAGGTCAAATATTTTTTAAGTCACATGCGACACAAGTTGAAAATTGCAAATTTTCATTAAGTCATGGGCAATAACTCTAAACTACTACATATATTCACATGAACATACCCAGAAGTACAACGTCACATGCTGAACAACATTCCTGTAAGGTTTCATGACTCTAGGTCAAATACTTTTTGAGTTGCATGCATCACAAGTGGAAAATTGCAAATTTTTAATAAGTCAAGGGCAATAACTCTAAAAATACTAAATAGATCCACAAGAAAATACCCATGTGCACAACTACACATGCTGATCAACATTCCTGTAGGTTTCATGACTCTAGGTCATATACATTTTGAGCTATGTGTGACACAAAATGAGAACGGACGGACGGAAGGATGGACAGACGGACAAGGGTAAATCCAAATCCCCCCCCCCAAAGTGGGGGCACAATAATGAATTTAGAGTATGTTAGATGTTTAACAACAGTTTTCTGAAGAAAATAGCAGTGATTGTGAAGTAATGTGTCATTATCATTATAATAATACCAATTGTCAAAGGAGCAACAGATGCAAAATATAGTTCATATTTAATGCAAATAAGTATTTTTTTTAAAAACTACAACAAGATACAAGATTTAATGATTTTACTATAAGGACAAGAGGGTCATAATAGCCCTATATTGCTCACCTAAGTATCAAGGCTCACAATAAATTAAAGAGGACTGACTGAGGAAGCCATGTTTGACGCTCGCCCAAACATGCTCCATTTGCCAAATTAATGACATTGAAAATCTTGTAACCAAAGAATTTTTGCCAAATTAATGACATTGAAAATCTTATAAACAAAAGAATTTTAACAGAGTTATCAAAAGGAAGTTTTACATGAGGAACAAAATTGTGCAATTTCAAAAGATAAGGTATGGATCTGGACTTTCAGTGTAAAATTTTGATCAATGCTTAATCTGCACTTGCAAGTAACAATAAATTTATTAAAGAAACATAATGAAATAACTCCTTTGTATGTGTCAATTAAAGAAATACATTTTTATAGTTGTTATCACTATTTCAAAGCCACAAAATACAAAACGTGACAAATACAAAATGAATACAGGGTATATTTCATGTCCAGTCGGTAACTTTTTCATTGATCAAGGAATGACACTTTATTTGCATGGGCCTGATTTCTATATGTTTCTACAAACAGATGGATGGACGGATGGAAAGATGGACAAAGAAACACGCAATTCTATAAATAGAAACACGCAATTCTATAAATAGTAACACGCAATTCTATAAATAGAAACACGCATTTCTATAAATAGGAACACACAATTCTAAAAATAGAAACACAAAATTCTATAAATAGTAACACGCAATTCTATAAATAGTAACACGCAATTCTATAAATAGAAACACGCAATTCTATAAATAGAAACACGCAATTCTATAAATAGAAACACGCAATTCTATAAATAGAAACACGCAATTCTATAAATAGTAACAAGCAATTCTATAAATAGTAACACGCAATTCTATAAATAGAAACACGCAATTTTATAAATAGAAACACGCAATTCTATAAATAGAAACACGCAATTCTATAAATAGAAACACGCAATTCTATAAATAGTAACACGCAATTCTATAAATAGAAACACGCAATTCTATAAACAGAAACACGCAATTCTATAAACAGAAACACGCAATTCAGAAACACGCAATTCTATAAATAGTACCACGCAATTCTATAAATAGTACCACGCAATTCTATAAATAATACCACGCAATTCTATAAATAGTACCACGCAATTCTATAAATAGAAACACGCAATTCTATAAATAGTACCACGCAATTCTATAAATAGAAACACGCAATTCTATAAATAGTACCGCGCAATTCTATAAATAGTAACACGCAATTCTATGTTGTTGTTGTTGTTGTTCTGTTATAATATGAAGTTGAAGTTGATTCCTTCAATAATAGCAAAGTTACAGTCAGTTACAGCCAAAACAATGAAAATTTCAATAATTTGACCTTCAAAGACAATGTCATTAATGAGTGAAGGTCAAGGTCTTTCGGTTTTTTTTTTAACAGTTATCCTTGAAGATTATTATGTTCAATTCAAAAACAAAAAAAAAAACCCCCAATTCCTAATAAATTTTTTCCCCAACGGCAAAAATATAATAGGTCCGGAAAGGGAATCCCTTATAAATTTTTTAATTTTAAACCAAACTTTAAAAAATAAAAAAGAAAACCCTGTAAAAAAGAAAAATTGGCTTTAAACCTTTTCAAGGTTTTTTTGGGAGGCTTGGGTTAGGGTTTTTCCCGGGTTTTTGGGGCCTTGAAACAAAAAAAGAAAAAAAAATTAATATCCCGGGGCCCAAAAAAAACCCCCGGGAAACAATTTATTTTTTTTCAAAAAAAAAAAGTCGAGCTAAAAATAATTGCACAAAGGACACATTGCTATCGCAAGAGTTCACTTCTGAACAAAAAGGCATTTTCTGCCAAAGGCCTAAGGTGATCTAAAAACTTGTTTGGTACGGATTATCCAGGAGGAGAGGCATAAAATATGTTTTCATTGAGAGTCTGTACCAGAGTCGCTCATGTCATTATTTGTGTTTCTTTCTTCTGTGTATCCATCTTGTGTCCTAGATATTGATTCTTCTGACTGGTGCCCATCTGTCCTAACTATTGAACCTACTCTTTGAAGTATATCAAGTTTTCTCTTTTCTTCTAGTTTAAATATACTTTCTTTCTCACCAGTTTTATAGAAATCAATTCTGAAATGAATATAACAGCATAGTAATCCTAAACAAGATTGCACATAAGTGGCGGCATGGCCAAGTGATTAACGTGTTAGAATAGTAATCCAACGATCGATAGCCGCATGCATTCAAATTCCATCAGGGGCAAGTCATTGTTGTTTCCTTGAGCAAGAACCTTTATACTCATTGCTCAGTACTGGTTGGTTCCAGGAACGGATTTGAAAGTGTGTCTATAAGCTTAAAGCTTCCTACACAATCAAACTAAAATAAATTCTGTATCAACCAAGATTGCACTTATGAAAAAAATGCTATGCCACCGCATTAATGCAATACTAAATAGAAGGAACAGATTCTTTTTGTTTCTATATAATTGAACTTTGCCATAATAAGAAGTAGTTTCTAGTGAATTTGGGGTCAAGGTCAGATTTCAGCATGTCAAATGAAAGACAATATGCAGATGTGTCTAATGTTCAAATACAAAAGCCCTAATATAATAACTTATTCAAAATAAAAGTATTCTTACTTGATAAAAATTTTGGTATATACTGTATTACATAGCTGTATTAAACATTTAAATGCAATAACAGTTATTTTTCTTAAATACTATCTTTTCATTTAAGCATTACCTATTCATGAAAAAAACAAACAAAACATTTATGATTTAAAATTATCATTTTAAATAAATGGTGTCTGTCAAGATTGATATTTTAAATATTTTTATCGTTTTATTTTATGTTTGTTTCAGCAGCATAAATCTGATAAAAATGCATTTTCATATCAGCTTTTAGATATTTAGCTGAGCTTTAATTTGCACCTTATTTCATGTTCATACTTCTAAACTCAAGTTATAAGTACGAGGGTTGTCCCAAAAGTCCGTGACAAATTTTATAGCCGGTTCATTTTTAACGCCAATAGAAAATAATTCACACATATAACCGTTAAGTTTATTATTTAACATTACAACAAATCATTTACAAAAAAATTACCCTAGTTACTTAGAAATTTTCAGTATAAACGACATTGGTTTGAGTTGCCGGCGCAAGTCAAATAATTTACATTTTGTTATGAATAGGCTGAAATTAATTACGTATATTTCAAATATCTGATGATGTGTCTGCACAATGTCACGATGACTTTCTCTGCTGCTATGTTTAATTCATCTCTGAAAATTTTAGTTAAATAACTTAAAAAACCAAAACGATACAAATAAATGAAAATATCTCATATAGAATAGGAAAGTTAAAATGGCGACGTTCAAAGAATTTGCGGCGCAGTGAACATGTCACTCAGGTTTCACGACTATTTCGAGATGACACATGTCACGATTTTCAACAAATATACCAAATATAACAGTTTAGCAACATATTCTGAGCATTTGTGTACAAAAGGCATGAACAAAACCAGAGTTTTGCGCTACAAAAAGCGAAAATAAGGAAAACACGGATAGGAAGACCGATCTTCGTCGCCTATTTCCTACAGCTAAAAACAGGAGTAACGAGACCGGAAGTTCGCGTATAGCAAAAATTAATGTATGTCATCCAAACATTCAACAGACATTAACAACCACATGATTTAAGTAAGAAATTGACGATTTATGGGTACCATTATTGCGTTGAAAGCCATTGAGAGTATTTGAGAAAGGCGCCTTATATAGATTTAACGCCGTCTTTGACGTTGGACGTGCGCCGCGATTCAGTTAGTTGCCATGGTGTTTATGGCATATTCTTGTTGTTTGTTGATATTTATCTATGAAAATTTGTGAAAATGTTTAAATTATATGGGTTAATAACATATTAAAATATCAAATTCGTACCTGTTTTATTTAGCTTTTAAACAATCTTGTCACCGAATATTGGGACAACCCTCGTATTTAAGTGTGTCAATTGATATATATTGAGAGAAATAAATTTAGTTCCCGAATAAGGATTTATCATTATTGTCTCAGAGATTTCTGCTGAAGGAGTGAAGCATTTAGTCTCCAGAGTTGAAGCAAGTCCAAAAGTGCAGAAAGTCTCCAAGCCCAGGAAGTCCAAAAGCGCAGCAAGTCTAGAAGCACAGCAAGTCTAGAAGCACAGCAAGTCTAGAAGCACAGCAAGTCCAAAAGCACAGCAAGTCCAAAAGTGCAGCAAGTCTAGAAGTGCAGCAAGTCTAGAAGCACAGCAAGTCCAAAAGCACAGCAAGTCCAAAAGTGCAGCAAGTCTAGTTACCGCAGCAAGTCTAAAAGTGCAGCAAGTCTAAAAGCGCAGCAAGTCCAGGAGTGCAGCAAGTCCAAAAATGCAGCAAGTCTAGAAGCACAGCAAGTCCAAAAGTGCAGCAAGTCTAAAAGTGCAGCAAGTCTATAAGCGCAGCAAGTCCAAAAACGCAGCATGTCTAAAAGCGCAGCAAGTCTAGAAGCACAGCAAGTCCAAAAGCGCAGCAAGTCCAAAAGTGCAGCAAGTCTAGAAGCGCAGGAAGTCCAAAAGCACAGCAAGTCTAGAAGCACAGCAAGTCCAAAAGCACAGCAAGTCTAAAAGCGCAGCAAGTCTAGAAGCACAGGAAGTCCAAAAGCACAGCAAGTCTAGAAGCACAGCAAGTTTAGAAGCACAGCAAGTCCAAAAGCGCAGCAAGTCCAAAAGCGCAGCAAGTCTAAATTTACTATGACAAATGTCACATATAATTACATACTTTATTGTTGTAGTCTACTAGGACTTGGTTGTGTTAACAAGAATACTTTACATAATCGAGTAAATATGGGAACCCAGGCAATGCAATAATTAGCTCTATTAAAAATTGTCAGTTTGCTCTTATTAATTAAAAAAAAGTCTTTGATATTAATGTCGTAAGTAAAAAAATACGATCGCTAAAACAGATGAATAGTACATTCTTTTGTTGTTTTTAAATGATCCAGTTTATATGAATTTTAATCTGTATTTGTGCGAATGCTATTCCGTAAACATCAAAAACGCCACCGGCTTTTACTAGATACAACCACACATACCGCGTTATTTACTGAGATTGATTTATATGCATGTTAATTTACACAGTCGCTAAGATGTTGTGTGCAGTAACTGTCAAATATGGTAAGACCAGTTCAGGATGTAAACTTTTTAAACTCGCTGGTTAAAACCTGTCAGGTGTCGTATAAATTATGCGATGTTTACATTGCCGAATTACAGGGGCAGTGTGTCCAATGGAGGTGCATATCATGTCACATAAATGTGTTGATTGTAGTCAATTATCGGCAGTAACTGTGCTAATATTAGAGTTATGCCCAGAGGCAAGGACAAGAGCTGTGTGACACCTAAAGATATGTATATATCCTGTAAGTAGAAATGTTCCGCTTTTAAGTTTAAGATTACTTTACATTAGTTTACTGAATTTTTTACAAGAAAATGAAAATCCACGAATTTAAGAACCCAAGAAAATGCCCGTTTTGATAAAACCACGAAATTTCATGCCCACGAATATAAGTGAATTCGCAGTATACAAATAACAGAAACACATTTACCCTGGGGCAGGGCCAATTTTGACCCTAGAGCTATTATAAATTTGAATAATCTTTGTAGAGGTCCGCAAGATAATGACTTGTGCAAAATATCTAAGCTCTAGGCCTTGTGGGTCTTTACAAGAAGATTTTATAAAAGATTTTCTTATAATTCAGTTTGGTTTCTTTATAGAATCAAATACTTTGAACAACTTTGGAAGCCCTTCACCGAAGGAACAATCCTGCCAAGTTTGGTTGTAAATGGACCAATGGTTTTTTAGGAGATTTTTTAAATTCACTATATAATCTATAACACACAAGCACACACAGGTGAATCACTATATGCTACCACATCACAGATGCTGCAGTGAAATAAACCTGAATGACCCTCATGGGCGAGGTCAATTTTGAATATTTTTCTTAGAGTTTCATTATAGGATGCTACACACAAAATATCTAAGCTCTATGCCTTGCATTTTCAGAAGAAGATCTTTTAAAGCTGCACACCTCTAGATGAACCAAGATATTTCAAGAAAATCAAACTTGAGAAACAAGAGGGCCCAAGATCGCTCACCTGAGAAATAGGTCAAAAGGTTTAAGTGGAGCTCCTTTCATCCCAAAAGAAATAGCGAAAATTAAAACATCTGGAAAAATACAGGATTTACAGTACATATAAGGAAAATCAATGACCACTGGGCCGGGCCAATTTTGACCAAACTTGGTAGGCATCCACTAGAAGATGTTTTCTGCAAAATATCTAAGCTCTAGCTCTTTTGGATTTTCACAAGAAGAGTTTAAACAATATACATGATATATATAAGGAAAATCAATGACATCCTAGGGCGGGGCTAATTTTGACCCTAGGGCTTTTATTAGGACAACTGTGTAGACACCCATTTGAAAATGTTTCATGCTTAATATCTAAGCCCTTGCACTTTGGGTTTTTTCTTTTAAAGAAGGCTTTTTAAGTTTTTACTATAGACATGTAAGGAAAATCAGACCCCAGGGGCGGGGCCAATTTAACCCTGGGGCTTTTATTTGAACAAATTTGGTAGACACTCACTAGAAGATGTTTCATGCTGAATATCTAAGCTCTAGCTCTATGGGTTATTTGAAAGAAGATTTTTTAAAGTTTTAACAATAGACATGTAAGGAAAATCAGACCCCTGGGGCAGGGGCAATTTAACCTTGGGGCTTTAATGTGAAAAATTTGGTAGACACTCCCTAGAAGATATTTCATGCTCAATATCTAAGCTCTACCTCTTTGGGGTTTTTTCTTAAAGAAAGCTTTTTAAGTTTTTACTATAGACATGTAAGGAAAATCAGACCCCAGGGGCCAGGCAAATTTAAACCTGGGGCTTTTATTTGTACAAATTTGGTAGGCACTCACTAGAAGATGTTTCACGCTGAATATCTAAACTCTAGCTCTATGGGTTATTTGAATGAAGATTTTTTAAAGTTTTAACAATAGACATGTAAGGAAAATCAGACCCCTGGGGCAGGGGCAATTTAATCCTGGGGCTTTTATGTGAAAAATTTGGTAGACACTCACTAGAAGATGTTTCATGCTCAATATCTAAGCTAACAGAAGAGTTTTTAAGTTTTTACTATAGACATATAAGGAAAATCAGTAGCCCCGGGGCGGGGCCCAATTTTGATCCCAGGCCTTTTATTTGAACAAACTTTGTAGATACCCACCAGAAGATGATTTATGCTTAATATTTAAGCTCTAGCTCTTTTGGTTTTTTAAGAGAAGATTTTTTAAGTTTTTACTATAGATATTTCATATATAAGGAAAATCAATGACTCCCCCTCCCCCCCGGATGGGGCCAATTTTGACCCCAGGGATTTTATTTGAACAAATTTGGTAGACACTAACTAGAAGATGTTTCATACCAAAGATCTAATCTCTAGCTCTTTGGGCTTTTTACAAGAACATTTTTTAAGTTTTTACAATAAACATAAAAGGAAAAGTAATGACCCCCTGGGGTGGGGCCACTTTTGACCCCAGGGCTTTTATTTGAACAAGTTGATAGACGCTCACTAGAAAATGATTCATGCCAAATATCTAATCTCTACCTGTTTCGGATTTTCACAAGAAGATTTTTTAAGTTTTTACTAGTACATAAGAAAAATCAATGACCCCTGGGGCGGCAAATTTTGACCCTAGGGCTTTTATTTGGTAGACATCCACTAAAAGATGTTTCATGCCAAATATCTAAGATCTGGCTCTTTCGGATTTTTACAAGAAGATTTGTTAAGATTTTTGTAAAAAAATCTTTCGGTTGCCATGGCAACTAGAGTTCTTCATGGAATTTAATTCTTTGAACAACTTTGGTAGAGCTTCATGCAAGAAACATCCCTGCAAAGTTTCAACAAATTTGGCCATGTCGTTTAGGAGGAGAATTGTTTACAGAAATTGTTGACACACACAACAGACGGACGATGGACAATGGGCCATCAAAAAGCTGACCTTGAGGACATTGTCCTCAGGTGAGCTAAAAAGTACTGGGATTTTAAGAAAAGTGAAAGAAAAGTGAAAGATTCAAGGTTTAAGTAATAATTTCTATTTAATGTGCGATTTATGACCAATCCTGCAGTACTTTTCACCATATTTCTACTGCGTTAGTAACGCAGTAAGGACTTTTTTTAGCACATTTTGACATTTTTTTGTTGATTTATATGGGTTGCTATTGCTGTTTGCAATGTAGAAATTATCATCTTCGTTCACATTACAATATTTTACCTTTTTATGCATTTTCTCAATTTTCATGAAAATTAGCATGTATCTGGAGGCGTGCTGCTCTAAGATTTTAGTACATGTATATACATATAAGGAAAATCAATGTCCCCCTTAGGGCCATGCCAAAAGGGCTATAATTTGAACAGTTTCATTAGATGATGCTACACACAAAATATCTAAGCTCTAGACCTTGCACTTTAAGAGGAGATATTTTAAAAAATTTCATTTTAAAAATCTATTTTTAGCCCTTCTGACCCAGATGTTCAATATAGCAGAACCATTTGAACAATTTTAGTAAAAACATTCCCAGGAAGATTTCATCAAATTCGACCCAGTGGTTTCTGAGAAGTTGTTTGTATAAAAAGTTGACGACAGACTCACTTTGTGCACTTTCAGTTCAGGTAAAAGGGCTGGGGTCTCACAGATATGTTTGATTTTTCATGATTTGCCTACTTGTAAGTATGATATTTTTGTCAGATTTTAGTTTTTTCAACCCAACGGATGTTGTTTTTTTACAGAAATTTAGTAAATGCTTGATAATGTCTAAATTTCTAGAGAGAGAGAGAAAGAATTATTATTATGGGCATTCCTATAAACATAGTATTTATGATCTATTAATAAATATTTACCTATCGTATATAATACCATCAACTTTGGCATCCTTGAACTTTTGAATCATTCTTTTATCATTGCAACCTTCTCCCCACAGAAACAGTACCAGTCCTGCATCTTTCACATACTTGATCAGAGACATATCTTCAACTAACATATCAGACAACACATCTATTCCCTGAAAATAAAATTGAAAACAAAAACCTGTCAAACAAAACAATTACTTGTAGTTAAACAAAACAATTACCTTTACTAAAACAAAACGATTGTCATTCATACAAAAGAGCTGTCAGTAAGACTGCACATTGAAATGAATATTCTAACAGAATATTCTGTGCACTGCACTTCTTATCAATACCATCTATCATCCTATGAAGTTTCAAGTCCATAGCTTTTATAATTTATGAGAAATGGCCTGGACAAAAAAAAGTATGAAAATTAATAAAGGGTAATAACTCAAAAAATAAGAAGTGCAGAGTACCGGTTCTTGTACACTTTTTCTTTATGAGATCTATCATCCCATGAAGTTTAAAGACCATAGCTTTTATACTTTAGGAGAAATGGCCTGGACAGAAATAAAGTATGAAAATTAACAAAGGGCAATAAGTCAAAAAGTAAGAAATGCAGAGTACCGGTTCTTGTGCACTGAGATCTTTCATCCTATGAAGTTTCATGTCCATAGCTTTTATACTTTAGGAGTAATGGCCTGGACAAAAATAAAGTATGAAAATTAACAAAGGGCAATAACTCAAAAAATAAGAAATGCAGAGTAACGGTTCTTGTGCACTGCACTTCTTCTTAATGAGATCTATCATCCTATGAAGTTTCAAGTCCATAGCCTTTATACATTAGGAGAAATGTCCCGGACAAAATTAAAGTATGAAAATTAACAAAGGGCAATAACTCAAAAATTAAGAAGTGCAGAGTACCGGTCCTTGTGCATTGCACTTCGGGTTATTGAAAGAAGCATGATAACATACCAAGTTTGAAGTCAATCTGACTTATAGTGACTGAGCTATGCTCCAGACAAGCTTTAGGGGACGCCTACGCCCTTTAATGCCCTGTGTTAAAAAATGCAACAAACAGAGGTGTGGCCTCTGTGATTATTTAATAGAAGGATATTCTTTAAAACTTCAGAATAAAATATTTCATACAAAAGAACATATGGACTGTACTGTTGAAACTGTTTTATATGTTTTAGTTTGCAACGGCTGCAAAGAATTTTACATAGGCCAAACAGGGGACAAACTTAGAAACAGAAAAACTGTTCATGCTCAGCAGATCAGAGACCCATCAACAAGACAATTACCTTTAAGTGAACATTTAGATAAATGCTCTAAAAAAGACCCGAAATTTTGTATTTTCCCATTTTATAAATTTCACAGTAAAAACGTTTCAGCTAGGTTATCTAAAGAACGCTATTTTAATGATGTTTTTAATCCAAAACTTAATACTATATAATGACGTTACTATTTTTAGATTATGCGTACACATGTGGTCTCAACCCGGTACGGAATTAGACCGAACCCGTTGTAGTCTAGAAAGTAGTTCTTTAAAATTTTGAAATGGCCCAGTTTAAGTCATCTCTAGTTAGATTGGTCATAATTAAAGTGTATTTATTGCATGTGTGTAGTTTTTGTGTGTTATATGATGACTTTAAAAGTTATTTTTTGTGTATTCTCCAGGAACTCATTTGTTGGTGGAAGGATTAAAGATGTACTAACCACCAGCTGTCAGGAGTTTTTAAAGAGGTGAATTTAAACAGTGTTACAACAGAATGAAGATTTCTGAAAAAAGTAGATGGCTAACCTATTATATTTTGGGCCTCATTGGACTTAGATAGTGTTAATGTTTAAAGTTGAAGACAGTATATAATTCATCAAGAACAGTGGAATCCAGAATTAAGCCTCAAATTTGACTGATTTACTATAGAACAAATAGTACGAAAATTCACCGGTCCGAGTCCATGTGTACACACAAACGTCGCAGTTACTATGCGACGACGTCACATTTGCCCTGATGATCATAAGAGAAACCAGTTGGCAAATTATTAAATAAGTTAACTCATGGACTGTGTTTTTTGTTTTATATATATATATACAGTAGAACTTCGGTAAGTCGAAGTTGGATGGACTTGCGTAAAAACTTCGACACATCGGGACTTCGACTCATGAATTGGTCTGAATTTCATGACAAAATTTCAACCCGTGACTAGCCTTTTTTATAAGATCTATTATGTAACCTACTTCATGTTTTCTTTCATTCATTAATCTGATATTTTACAATGATATAAATACAAATAAATATAAATATAAATAAATATAATATAAATTATATAATTGTATAATACAATGATAAATATGACATGTTAAGTAACTTTTCACGGCTAACGATTTGGACTCCCTGTTGACGTATACAATGAAGTTACAAAAGGTGTAACAATACGAAAGGGCAATAACTTAACCAGCTTATAGTAAATATTTCGCGTGTGATTATCACGCGACACGCGGTCACGGAATACTCAAATTATAGTTCTTAGTTAAATTAATCTAATTCAAAAACC